TCACAAGTTTGAGGCCAGCCTCAGCAACTTAGTGAGACCCTGTCTCAAAATAAAATAAAAAGGGCTGGGAGTGAAGCTCAGTGGGAGAGAGCTTGCTCTGCGTGCGCGAGGCCCTGGCTCATCCAGTGCTGCGGAAGAAGAAAAAGTGTAACTTCCGATGAAATTAGTTAAGACCCATTCATTCAAACTGGGTTGTCCCAAAGTCACTTAGAAGACTGGCATCCTAAGATGAAAGGAATGAGAGAAGGAACAGAGGGGGCAGCCTGGAGGTAGGCTGCCACTAGCCAAGGAACCCCGGCAGGAAGACCCTCCCCCAGAGCTCCCAAGGCAGCGTGGCACTGGGACCCCCTGACTCCAGCTCTAACCTTCAGTGAGTGAGGACATAAATTCCTGTCGTTTTTAAGCCCCTCCGTTTGGGGTCATTTGCTTCGCAGAAAACCAGCAGAAGGAGCAAGTGCCGGCCGGACATGGCCTTTGGTTTGGCAGCGTCCCCTTGTGCCAGCTCTCCGGTGCCAGCTCCTGCAGCCTTCCAAGCCAGCTGTTCGCACTGGGTGGGGGGCCATCCATGCTGCAAGCCCTGGAGGAAACCGCCCGGCTCCCCATTGCAGCCCTAGCACAGAGCACAGGACCCCACAACGGGGACACTCGGAGAATGGCCACATAATTTCTCTTTTGCTGCTTTGTTAGAATTTTGCTCTTAATGTTAAAAAATGCAAAGTTTTAAAAAAGTTACACAAGGAAAGGAACAACACACTTTCTTTTTCTTTTGGCACTGGGGATTGAACCCAGGGCCACTTAATCACTGAGCCACATCCCAATCCCATTTTTAAAATATTTTCTTTAGAGACAGGGTTTTGAACTCGCGATCCTCCTCCTCTTCAGCCCCAGATAAGGAACAGGGCCAGGCTCCACCCGGATCCCAGAGGCCTGGCTCTTGGAACTTGTGATACAATGCGTTATTTAGTGTCACTTCTAGCTCTTTGGCCAAACTTGTCCCTCTGCCTAGTCACACTGGACCACCGACGTAGAATTGAAGAGTGGTGTGGCCCAGGTGGCACCTCAGGACACCCATCAGTCCCCAGACAACTGCAGAGGGCAAGGCAAGGCCCTGAGTGACCCCACCCACAAAGGCGAGGCTCGGGCGGTGGGCGGGGCCCTCTCGGCGTGATCCCTGGCGGCGCCCGTAGCCGCAGTTCAGGAGGTGGGCGCGGCCCTCTCGGCGTGACCCCCGGCGGCCCCCGTAGTTCTCACCCGGTAGAGGCCGTACGTGCTCTCGGCGTGCTCGAAGGGTACCAGCCGCTCGTCGCAGAAACCCAGCGTCCACCGCGCTAGGCTGGCGGGCCCGGCGGGGGCGGCGGCGGCAGGTAGCTCCCGGGCCAGCATCGACACGAGGCTGCCGCCCGACAGGCCGAGCGCGAAGCGACCCCGGGTCCCTTCCAGGCAGCACGCAGCCCGCTGCGCCACCAGCTGCGCTAATGACGCGCCCAGTTCCTGCGGGCTCGAGAACACGGAGATGAGGCCCGAGGCGGGCGCGGCCATGGCGACGGCGGGGCGGCAGGGAGACGGAAGCGCTCCCGGCGGCCGCCAGTGCGCCTGCGCGAAGGCCAACACCTGTCTGAGCTCTTTGGTCGGTCTGCGCTACGCACATGCGCAGTCCGGCAAGTGAAGCCCCGACGGGGAAGGGCGATGTCTTCTGTGCCCACCCTTTGAATCTTTGCGAGCTATGCCTGAGCCCAACCCTGAGCTGGCTTAGGAGGAGCTCGGAGGCAGGCCTTCGTCCCCACAGAAGGGGACATGGGGTTGGGATGGCGTGAGGAGATTTGGGAAGGTTTCCTGGAGAAGTGATATTTTGGTGGGCTTTGACATCTGTTAACTTTATCTGTTACATTTGTTGTCTCTTCTAATTAAAATATAAGCTCCCTAAGAGTCAGGGTGTTTGTTTTGTTTTATTCATTGATGCCTGGCGAGCCTCCAGAACTGTGTCTGACACAGAGTAGGAGCTCAGTACATCTGTTGAATTGCGTTAGCAAACACTCTGGAGGCTGCTGGGTCCCTCCGAGGACCCAAAAAGCCCTCCCGCCTGATTGCACCTGATTAGCTCCATGACTTGGCTAAGGAGGGATTTGAGGCTGCAAGGCCTGGGGGTGTAAGGAGCGGCTCCTTCCAGTGCTGAGGTAATTCGGTGGAGTATAGTTAAGTGCAATGAGACTCACTCAGTGCATTTTAAAATCAGTGTCAAAACAATTCCATTTGCCATAGCATCATAGAGAATAAAATACTCGGAGTAAACAACAGAAGTGCAAGACCTGTACACTGAAAATGAAGATTTCACTGAAGAAAGTTAAAGGTATTCATGGAAAGACATCCCATGTTCATGGATTGGAAATAAGATGGCAGTACTCCCCAAGTTGTAGAGATGCAGAATAATCACTATCAAAATGCAAACTTTTTTTTTTTTTGTAGAAATTGAAAAGCTGGTCCTAAAATTCCACAAGGAATTCACACTTCCTAGTTACTTACTACAAAGCTACAGTATTCAGGCCAGTGTGGTATTGGCCTAAAGACAGACATGTAGATCAGTGAGTAGAACTGTAACAAGGACTGACTATCTTCATTTGTGTCTGCAGTTGTCTGATGGGTAGCTAAAACCAGGATTAAAGACTTGGCATCTCTGTCCCCGTATTGCATCTGTCTCCTGTGCTCTGAGTCACCACGTGTAAAGATTCAACCTCACTGATAAACAGCGTGAGATGAGTTGAAGCTGTCCTTTCTTATTGTGGACGAGGCTCCACTTGACCAATCCTGAGATAATGATGGGCAGCCCACACCTCAAGATCATCTGCTTTGGCAGCTGAAAAGCCTCCAACTGTACAAACCCCAAGTGCTTGCCCTCATTCTCCTTTCTGTAGAAACTCAAAGTCATTGTCAGTCCCTTGAAGACATGGCTAAGGACATGATTCTAATCAGTTCATTTCACGCCTTTCTCCTTTTCTGTTTGGTTTTGGGGCTGGAGGCCAGAGCTGCTTGGTTGGCTCCCCAGAGTCAGGCCTCAAGCAACAGAACTGAGTGCAAAAATAAACCCATATGTTGTGGTCAGTCTTTAACAAGGGGCCAGGTCTCTTCAATGGGGAAAAAGGTCTCTTCAGGGCTGAAGGTGTGGCTCAGAAGTAAATTGCTTGCTCAGTCAGCATTTACTGGGAAAAAACAAAACGTCTTTTCAATAAATGGTGCTGGAACAATGGGATAGCCACCCAGAGAAGGAGGAGGCTGGACTCTGCTACATAGAATAATGCCCCCCACAAGATGGCCACCCCTAACCCTCTGAATGCATAAAAGTATGAGGATAGTTTACAAGGGGGGACTGTGATGGCAGATGAAATTAGGTTGATACCCAGTTGGCCTTAAATAGGTTTTCTGGATGGCCCAAGGTAACCAAAAAAGACCTTATAAATAGAAGAGCAAAGCAGAAGAGGGATGCCCAGAGGGGTGATGGTGTCAGGAAGACTCAACCCTCTGTTACTAGATGGACATGGAGGCCCAGAGCCAAGAGCTGCAGGTAGTCCCAAAGCTGGAAAAGGCAAGGAAATAGATTCTCAACCAAGCCTCTAAACATACAGCCTGCAGACACCCTGGTTTTAGTGAAATCCATTTCTGACATCCAGTGTTTAGGCCTGTAAGAAATGTGTTATTTTAAGCCCCTGTGTTTGTGGTAATTTTGTTACAGCAGCTAGAAAACTGATACAGATCCCCACCTCACACTGTATACAAAAATTAACTGAAAATGTATTCAAGACCAGCGACAAGGCCCTGGGTTCAATCCCCAGCTCCATAAAACAAACAAAATACTAGTGATAGTCGCACAACCCCGTGAATATACTAAAAGCCATTAAATTATTCATTTTAAGAAGATGAATATTATGGATGTGAATATTTCAATTGAAGAAATACAGAGGTGACCGGGCGGAGTGCGGGGGTGGAGAGAAATGGTGTCCCACACGTGGAAGACAGCAGGAGCCAAGATGCAAAACCCGGTGCTGGCTGGAAGCCACTGGCTGGGTGGAAGGAGTCTGAGGGGCGCCCGCTGCACCTGGATCCCTCCCCAGAGAGGGACCGGGCCCTTGGAGGGAGCAGGCCAGGGCCCCTTCTCTCCCCCACAGGCCTCAGTGCCCTGCCCTCTCCTCCTGGCGTCCCCTCCAGCATTCCTCAGCCACGTGCTGCTCCGTCCCTGCTCTCAGGGCCACTTGCCTATGCCAGGCTCCCACATCAAAGGTACAAATGTCCCTCTGTGCAGATTATCCCAGGGCCTCCCACAAAGAAGGGGCTTGGGCCAAGTCCTTCTGATCCTGGCTGTCTTCTCCAGGTTGAGGGGCACGGGGGTGTCATGGAGCTTCCCATTGGGCAGATGAAAAACTCCAGAACTGGCCGGTCGCAGTGGCCCACACCTGCCATCCCAGCAGCAGGGAGGCTGAGGCAGGAGGATCGTGAGTTCAAAGCCTGCCTCAGCAAAAGCGAGGTGCTAAGCAACTCAGTGAGACCCTGTCTCTAAAGAAAATATTAAAAGGGCTGGGATGTGGCTCAGTGGTCAAGTGCCCCTGAGTTCAATCCCTGATACCAAAAAAAAAAAAAACCTCAGAACTCTCCAGGGCTGGGTGCAGCCCAGTGGTGAGTGGGTGCTGGGCATGCAGGAGGTCCTGGGTTCCAGCCCAGCACCTCCAAAATCAAGTCAAAACTGGAGCACCACGCCACAAGGAGACACGGTGGAGACCGACAGGCATTTTGCCAGCAAAAGCCAAATTGAGAAGCAGGCAGCTGCTGGTGCCACCGTGGGAAAGCAAGAGCAGCGCCTGCCAGGCGACAGGGAGGGCTGAAGAGCCGAACACAGGGACTTTTAGGACAGTGGAACTGTTTTGTGTGACATAGGTTGAGCAACCCTAATCCAAAAAAAATGAAATCTGAAATGCTCCAAAAATTTTTTAATGTATTTTTTTCTTTTCTGGGGGCGGTGCAAGCCAGGGCCTCGGTGTACCAGGACCTGCTCCGCTGCGGAGCTACCTTCCCACCCCCAGAGCAAACTCCTAGAGCAAACTATGCCACGGGGGAAACTGCACACCACGGAACTGGGTTTCATGCACAAAATTATGAACGATTTTAGCTGGAGACTGTGCCCTTGTCGGTAATCCGAGCTGCTCAGGAGACTGGGGCAGAAGGACCCAGTCTGAGGCCAGCTTAGAAGACCCAGACTCAAAATAAAGAAAATAACAGGGCTGCAGCCAGAGCTCATGGTCGGGCACCGCCTCACACGTGCGAGCCCGGGTTCCAACCCCAACACACACGAAACCCCACAGCTTGATCCTAAAGTCCTCAGGGTGTGTCTCACCCCTAGAGGGGCCTCCTGAACACAGGTACATCTACAGTCACAGGCTTTGGGGCAGGAAAAAGGGATGCTGGGACACCTTCTTGCCAGGTGCTCTTGGCAAGGACTGCATTTCCCTGCACCTCATTCCTGGAGTTGAGAGACGGGGTCTTTGGGAAATCATTAGATCCATCAGGGCGGAGCCCCATGTTGAGTCCTGATGGCTTAATAAGAAGGGGAGGGGGACAGAGAGAGAGACAGACAGGCTCCTGCCATGATGGATGCAGCCAAGAGAGACCCTCACAGGGACTGCACTGTGCTGTTTGGACCTCCATCCTCCAAAACCATGAGCCAACTGAACCTCTTTTCTTTATAACGTAGGCTGCCTCAGGTACTTCACTGTAATAACAAAAAGCTGACTTTTTTCTTGGTAGGTATCCAGCTTGACCTTACCACAGCCATCTTAAGCCATAGTTGCCATGACTGTCCCTCAGTAACCTGGTGTTTTTTCACCAGTTTCTCAGCAAACTGTACACAGAGCTGCTGAAGTGCGACGTGGAGCTTCACAGGAGCCTGGCTCCAGCACTCCAGGGCCGGGCCTGGTGTCTTTGATCCTAGCTGGAGATGAGCCAGGCGCACGCCTTCCGTCCTGACCACCAGAAGCCCCTTCCTCTGACCCGACTGTGGGGTCCACCCGGCTTCTGCACCACAGGAGTGAAGGACAAGGAGCCACTGGGCTTCCAGCAGGTGCCAGATGCTCTGCAGGTTTATTTCTTAAAATCCACTAGGGAACAAAAGCCCTGCGTGGAGCTGTTGCCCGGCAGGGTGGGGACACTCGCCACTGCCACCCCGCTCAGGGCTGGACGGTGCCGCTGCAGGAGGGTAACGTGCATCTGGGTGGCCACTGCAACTGGCTGGCACATGGGTCCAAGATGAGCCACCAGTGAGAGGAAGAGAGCCACGGAGCTGCCCAAGGGGACTGCACAGATGTCACCAACAACATAAGGTCTGACCGTCACTAGCAGAACCTCTGGGGACCCTCAGGAGTGGCTGCTGGGAGTATGTCTAACAGGCTGGAACCCCCCTGAGGCCCTCAGGTGACACCCCCTGGCAGGAGATCTCCCTGACACCACTGCTGCCCTCTCACAGGTCCTTCCAGCAGTCACAAAAGTGGGGACACACGGGGCCTTTGCCAGGGACAGGAAGCAGGGGGCTGGGTAGCCCGGACAGTCTTAGGGCCCCTCAGCGGGCGCTCTGAGGAGACACCTGAACGGAGACATCTAGACAGAGGTGGGCAGGGCACATTCAAGTTGTCACAGTTCATTCTGGAAGCTTCCAGGGCATCGGAAGGGGAATGGGGGAACCAGGAGGGTCGGGATGGCAAAGTGCAAAAGGGCAGCAGCCCAGACAGGAGACTCCGCGGACCGGGGCCAGGCACCTGGATGGGCCCCTCGTTCCCGGGGAGGGCGGGGCCTCTTGGAGCCCTAAACATCTGGAACCAGCGCAGGAGGAGGCCTGGGCGGTTCCGTAAGGCACAGAAGGACGGGGACGCCTGCTCCGGGTCCAGGGACACAGACAGGGATGAGACCTGGAGAGCAGCTGGGCCCTGCGCACACGGAGCTCCCAGGAAGCGCGGAGACGGTGCCCAGGGGCAGGGGCGCAGAGTAGCAGGACGCTGAGGCTGGGCCCCTCGCACCCCACAGACGGCCGGCATGTGGCTAGTGGCTGGGCAGGAGGGGCAGCCCCGGGACAGGGCCCACCAGGCTCAGCGGGGTCTCAGCTGGCAGGGAGGGACCTCAGAGGGCAAAGGCGCCCGAGCAGATGCGGGTGTAGACGCCTTCGTCCAGGGGCAGGTAGTGGCCTTGCTTCAGGTCCAGGAAGAAGAGCCGGTCCGAGGTCTGGCGGGGGTCGAAGCCCTCGCGCTGCAGCCTGGTCTTCTGGATCTTGAAGGTGCCTGTGGAGGGGGACAGGAGCCTGGGAAAGGCGCTCCCAGGCCCGGCTGTGCTCCCTCTCGGGTTCCTCCCGGCCTTTCCCACTCTGGCTGCCTCTGGTGGCTCAGCCCCCTCCTCCAGGAAGGGCTCCCTGATCACCCCATGGCAGAGAAGCCACTGTGCCCTGGCCCCGGGCAACCCCCACCCTGAGGCAGGGCTGTGTCTGTCACACAGAGGACTGGAGCCCAGCAGCCGAGGCCCTGGGGGCCATATGTGGCCCCCCACTTGTTTGTCAATAAAGTTTTATTGGCCCAATCCCTGACTATTCATTCATGCATCATCCATGGCTGCTTTGGCACCATAATGGCAGTTGAATAGTTGCATCGGAGACTGCAAGAAAAACTGCACCTGCCCTAAACATGGACAGACTTTGTTCTCGTCAACATTCCCTAACAACACAGTATCAACTCTGTGCACAGGACTTCCCTTGTATTGGGCGTTCTAAGTCATCTGGACGGGACTGACAGTCTGTGGGAGGACGCTGCAGGTTCTGTGCAAACACCACACCCTTTCATAGAAGGGACGTGAGAGTCTCCAAATGTGGGTATCCACAGGGATTCTGGAACCATCCCCGGTGGACACTGGGGAATGACTGTACTGGACTGTAAAACACCAAGCACACCAAGCCCAGGGCCGGTGGGAAGGCTCGCCCTGGGCAGCTGCTCGGGGGCAGCGAGTTTGCCAAACATCCATAGCAGATAGTTCCTCACTCGACTGTGGTACACATGGGGTGGTGACAGGGTCAGACCTAGTGGTACTATCACAAGGACATGAGGAGGGGACAGAGAAGCAGAAGTCCAGTGTGCATTTCACAGGAAGACAGATCTCAATTCTTTAAAAACCACAATGCAGGTTTCTGGGTCCGACCTCAGTTTTAGAGCACGTTTCTAGCATAACTGAGGCCCTGAGTTCCAACCACAGAGAAAGAAAAATAGATAAATAGATGATAGATACATAGACCTATCTCAGAACAAAGGCACAAACAGAGCAAGACACATGCATTCAAGTCCTAGCTCTGCCACTTGCTGGCTGGGTGACCTTGGGCAGATTACTTGGCTTCTCTGTGCCTGTTTCTTTATCAAATGGGGTTCATGGTAGCACTTACTCCATAAGAGTTTGAGAGGTAAATGAAAAGAGATGTGTACAACTTTTGGTGCATAGCAAGCATTATGTAAATATTTGCTATTTATCATGGTTAATTGAACTAAAAATATGACATACACAAACAGCTGAAGAACTAACACCTAAATCATTACAAGGAATTCCTACCAATCAAAAAGAAAATGAAGGTAGGCATGGTGGCTCATGCCTGTAATCCTGGCGACTCAGGAGGCTGAGGTAGGAGGATCACAAATTTGAGGCCAGCCTCAGCAACTTAATGAGCCCCTGTCTCAAAATGAAAAAGAAAAAAAAAATATGCTGTGGGTGCTGTGGCTGTGGCTCAGCAGTATAACGCTTGCCTAGCATGTGCGAGGCCCTGGGTTCACCACCAGTACTGAAGGAAGGAAGGGAGGAAGAGAGGGATGGACGGACGGAGGGAGGGAGGGAGACAGGGAGGCAGGAAATGACATGGGCCAACACAAAACAGGGTGAAACCCGTGAACAGGCAATTTACAGAGAGCAACCTGAAAGGTTCAAGGTGGTGACTTGAACTTCCCAGAAAATGAAAAGACGCGCCCACATCTCAGGAGGGCGAGTGGAGTGGGTGTGGGGAGAGGAGAGGTGACCATGTACGTAAGACGAGAAGGCGCACAGGAGAGCAGGGCCAGTGGCCGTGGACCATGCGTCCCACGGGCCTCGGGCCTGACTCAGGAAGATGACTAAATGGTGGCTGCGCCAACACAGGTGGGGGATGGACAGCGAGGTGAGGTGATCACACCTGTGGTGTCCACCTGAGGCAGGAGGCGCAGGAAGATGGGCCGGGCGTAGGGTGCCAGCACTTTCTGCAGCTCCTGGTACATGGAGTTGGGGTTCAGCTGGCTGTGGGGGTCCGAGATGGCTGCCATGCCTGCTTTTCCCTCCACTCCTAGAGACAAAGGGGCAGCTGAGAGCCTCCCACCACTGCCAGGTAGCCCTGGCTCTCTCATCTCCCGTCCTCCCCACCTGGGATCACATTTGCCAAAGCAAAAAACATTTTATAAAGCTCTTGCTCCACCCCCTGTGCCCCTCAGTAAGGATGCTGTCATGATCCCGTTTTCTGGATGACAACATCATGTATGCGAATGGACTCCAGATCCAGGGCTCCCAGCTGGTCTGCCAGGTATAGTTATCTAGGTTGTGCACTGCCCAAGGGCATCCAACCTCAAGCCCCTTTTGGCCCGGCTCCCTGAGGTTTCCACACCCCAGGACCATACCCCGCTCCCCAGCTTGCCTGGCACAGCCACTCCGTACACGGCCACGTCTGTCTGGCCCAGCAAGCGGCTGAGCACACCTTCTACCTCGGTGGTGGAAACATTTTCCCCTCGCCAGCGGAAGGTGTCCCCGCTGCGGTCCCGGAAGTACATGTAGCCAAGCTCATCCATCACCAGCACGTCACCTGGTGGAGGCCAGAGGGCAGAGATAGGACCACGGCCCCCATCCCCACGGCCAGCCCCCAGGCCCCTGGAGGCTGTGCACCTGAGAGGTAGGCGCTGTCACCCTTGCAGAAGACGCTGTGGGCAATCTTCTTGCTGGTGGCGCTCTCGCTGACGTAGCCGTCGAAGCGGCGCAGTGGGTCCTGCTGGTTGATCTGGCCCACCAGGAGGCCAGGCTCCCCTGGGGAGGAGGCCAAACTCAGGCTGAGCCGGGTGGCCGGGCGGCGGAGGCCCCAGCTCCCCAGGGGCGGGGGGGGGGGGGGCCTGCTCACCGGGCTGGCACGGGATGCAGAGGCCCTGGGCATCCCGCAGCAACTCCATGGTGTCCTCGTTGACCTTCACCAGCTGGATGGGGTACACGCGGGTCAGGATGCGGCTGCTGAAGCCACAGGAGCCAACCTGGGCGGGTGAACTGGGTCAGCAAGGCCTGGGTGCGCAGTGGAACGTCCCCAGTGACACGGCGCCTCCCCTGCCCCGGGGCTTGAGCACCCCTAGGTCATCTCAGGTCTGGGACCTCTGCAAAATCCTGGTGGTAAGGGCAGCATCCTGTCCCCAAGCCCATGCCACCTTCCCGTCCTGCCTTGCAGACTCGGGCAGGGACCTGGCTGGAGGACACTTCCTAGTCCATAAGATCCTCCAGGCCAGGAACCACCGCAGCAGTGCCCCAGCCCTGCCCTGCTCAGTGCTGTGGACAGTGATGCTTGTTCAAGGTGACTGTGTCGCTGGGCAGTGAAGGGAGTGTTACAGCAGCAACCCAAGCGGACGCCAGCGTGCCCTCCAGAGCTGGCCATTCAACAGACATGCGCAGTGAGGATCCTTGCTTTATCAGGGTTACCACGCCGCATCCCCAGCCTCCAGGTGGAGCCAAAGGGGCGGGGCATGCGAGGGCGGAATGGACCTAATCCCGGTTGCTAACCCCCGGGCGCATGTGTCCGGTTTACAGAGCCACTACCCGGGGGCTCCGCGCTCAGCTCGTGCTGTGATGTGTGAGGATGACACAGTCAATAGCTGGCGGCCCCGTTCACAGAGGAGGAAAGCAAAGCCCCAGAGCCTCAAGTGACTTGCCTAGGAGAAGAGCTGCACCTCCACGTGCCTTGGATCCCCAGGGCCCTGCTCGCCCTGCAGACGTCACACCGAGACAAGGCTCAGGCAGGCTGAGGCCCTTGCCCGGGCCCACAGCTATGCTGTGACTTGAACCCCTCCCACTTAGGTGTGACGGTCACATCGCTAACAGTACACACCGGGCAGGGTCTATGCAGGCCTCGCGTTGCCCCTCTAGTGTGCATAGGGGACCCCACAGGTCCCCATGCCACACCCTGCGCCCTGGCCCAGGGAGCCGGCTGTCCGAGCCGCCCTGGGGCTGACGCCCTGTGGCGCACACCTTGCCGTCCATGTTGGCGATGCTGCAGTTGCACTCGGTGGCCCCGTAGAACTCGCCGATCTGCTGCACGCGGAAGCGCTGCGTGAACTCCTCCCAGATGGCCGGCCGCAGCCCGTTGCCCACGGCCAGGCGCACGCGGTGCCGCCCCTCGGCCTCGCGCACCGGCTGCTTCAGCAGGTAGCGGCAGATCTCCCCGATGTACTGCACCACCTGGGGAAACCGAGGCTGGGCTGACACGGGGACCTCGCCAGCCTGGGAGCCAACCCAACAGGGATGATGACAGCTGCGACATCAAGCCACGTCCTCAGTCACCACCTGGGACGTTGCTTCTGTCTGCAGGCAGCTTGGCCTCACACTTCTCAGTGGTCCGTCCCTCCGTGCCCCCACACTGCTTCGTGGGGATGGCGCATCCTGGTCGAGCCTCGCGGGCACACGGCCCCAAGGTTGCGGAGGTTTGGCACCTCACAGGGCAACGCTCAGCCCAAAGGCCACGAACTTGATGCTGTCCCCAGAGCCTCCGCTGGCTGAGCTTGGCTGCCCACAGGGTCGCCCCTGGGGTGGAGCCACTCAGCTTGGGGGGGGGGGGCAATGGGACTGAGACCCCGCAAATCATCTGCTCACTGGCGCCCCCTTCAGAGTGCCTCCCCTCTCTGTCTCGCCTTTTCCATCCCCACTTGGCTTCCTGGGCTCACTTCCGGGGTGCCCCAGGGGCCCTGGAGTCCTGTTGGGGCCGCCTTCTGAATGACTGCTCTCTCTACTTTACAGACAGAAACTGAGGCTCACTTGGGTAAATGGACCAAGGTCATGGAGCTGGTGAGTAGCAGAATCAGGTTTGAAGCTGGTCAGAGTCCAAAGGAAGCAGCTGCTGCCCGGGACTGACCACCAGGCTGCTCTCAGCACGTCCAGACACAGAATCAAGAGCAAAACCAGCATGTGACCACCTCCACCTGGCCCTGCTCTCCTCCTGTCTCCAGAGCTCCCTCGGCTCTGCTGCTCCCTCGGCTCAGTCTCCGCCTCAGGGACTTTGCACATGCAGTACTTTCTGTCTGACAGCAGCTCCCTCCAAATGCATCTGCCCAGGTCCTCGGGTCTCAGCTCAAATGTCACAGCCACTGAGAGGCATTCCCTGCAGGTATTTACTAAATATCTGAGAATATACGAACATGCTGAGCACACAGCACCTGCCAAGCACAGTGCCTGGAGATGAAGGCCCCAAAGCCCAGAGAGGAGGGGACACAGTGCAGCCAGATCACACTCCCATGGAGAGCTCTCGCCCTGGGTTCCCAGACCTGAACCACTGGTCTCCAGGAGAGAACGGGGAACACAGCCTCGGCTACCCAGCCAGCCCAACTTGATTGGTTTAAGGATGGGCACTGGACCAGAGTTGAGCCAATGAGAATCAGCACTGGAAAGTTAGAAGAGCAATTCCTTCCCTCCTGGAGTTGCCCAGGACCCTCCTGGAGACCAGGTAAGGAAGGACGCTGACCACTCAGGAAGCCAAGAGAAAGCTGAAAACAAGAAATGGGAACAGATGGAGGCCCTCCTGGATCAAAATGTGCCTGAAGCTGTGCCTGTGTGCCTCTCCATTTCTATGAGTAATTCCCTTCCTGAGAAAACCAAGGTTTAGTTTAGATGTAGGGTTAGGATTTTGCTTCCTTTCCACCGACAAAGTTCCGCCTAAATTCACAGCTGCCCCCCAGTCTTTTAGCAGGTGATCTGAGCAGCGCTCAGCTCCTAGCTTTTCAGCTGAGGCCAGTCACACAGCAAGAGCAGACAGTTGATGGTCAATGCCAGCTGGGACCCGCAGACAGACTCAGAGCCGAGGGGAAGACGTGGAGTCGCCAGAGAAGCAGGCCCTGGGTCTCTGTGCTGTGACCTCTAGTCTGCAGAGTTGCACCCGGACAGGGACCAGGAACAGGCTATGACCTAGAACTCCAGCTGGGGCTCCCCTGTGTCAGGGGACCTCGTACCCTGAAGGCACACAGTTCAAGTGGGGAGACGCAGGGCACGCTTGGCCTGTGCTTGAAGGTATGTCGGGTCACAGCTTCCTCTTCTGTGGAGCTAAGGGGAGCCAGTTCTAGATGACAGCCTGCGGCCTCCCTCTGGGCCTCCCAGGCCACTGCGCGGGGCCTGTGGACATGGCTGCAGACACACAAGCGGTTCCCCCCACGCTCCAGCCAGAGGCGGATTCCTGGGCCCGAATGCATGCTCTTGTTCTCTGGGTATGCTTGACCTTCCAAGATCCCGTTCTGTGCCCTATAGAGCCCTCAGTGTTCGCCACAGACCTTTTCTTTGACACAAAAGTCCTGCTTCTCGGAAAGTGACGGACGGGCTTTGAAGGGCTGGGGGACGGCGCACAGTGGCTCAGCAAAATGCAAGGACAAAGGCAGAGCCTGTCAGAGGCTGCGTGGGGCTGCCAGTGAGAAGACACGCCCTGCCCACGGGAACCTGCCAAACAGAGTTGAACTTGGAGCTGGTCAGGTGTGGAAGCTGGAGGTTCTCAGCCAGGTGTGAGGCCACTCCCCAGGGACACTGTGGTCAAGGGGGTCACCCCTGGCACCTTGTGGTCCCAGGCCAAGGACGCTGCTAGGTATCCTAGGGGGCACAGGACAGCCCCCGCCTCAAAAACTGACCCAGCCCCGAAGGTCAACAGGGCCTGGCTAAATGCCAATGTGCTGCACCCAATTCCCAGTGTATGTGCAATGCTGTGACAAAGGACCGTGCTAGGGGACACTCCAGCAATGTCTAGAGTGTGAAAGCATGAAGCTCAGTACATAAATGACAAGGACAGAATGTCCTGGGCGGAGCGGGTGGTCCAGCTGAAGGGTCCTTCACCACTAGTCCGTGCAGGCTGCTGGATACTCATTCTTTTAAATATAGAAACAAAGAAAAAACCCACTTTTGACCTGGTGAGTTGGGGATTGGGGTTGGGCCACTGCCCAGATTCCTGATGACACTGAGAAATCACTGTCACTCTGTGGTTGTGCCCATGGATGCTGAGGTTATGTCTTAAGGAGTCCTTACGCTGGGGCGCTCAGTGTAGGGCCCTTGCCCAGCATCTCTGGTTCCACCCAAGGCCGCAAAAACAGTCTTCTCCATCAGACACGAAAGGTCACAGGGGGACCCCTCCCCCCACCCTCCCCCCATGGAAGGTCTGCTGCGCGAAAATCCAAGAGGCAGGAGGCAGGACGGGTGGCTGCCCAGGGAGGGGAGGGGCTGCCAAGGGACGGCTCCTTTTAGAAGATGGAAACGTTCTGGAACTAGACGGCGATGACGCTGCAGAGCCCCGGGAAGGCCTGGCCGCTGAGCCCACATCCGGCCAACGACTGGTCACTTCAAATCGGCAAATTCTATGAGTTCCACCTCAAAAATTTACAAAGTCCTCATCGTTCTGAGGCTTTACTGAGACGTCCTCACAGGATCCCGGCTGCTACGACAACACGGGTGTGGCCGAGGGCCGAGGGGCAGCACGGGGTTCCCCCGGCCTCTGGGGCAGGGTGACAGGGCGCCCACAGACCCTCCGCTTTCCTGTTCATATTCAAGCACGTTGGGACTCTCGTAGCCTCTGCTCTGCTTCCGTAAAGCTGGCCAGCGGGTCCCCAAGGCCACCCTCCCAGCGGGACCTCCCAGCGCTCCTGTAGCAGGGCCTAGGAGGGGACTCTCCTCCAGGATGCTCCGCCCAGAGCCGTGCCCAGCGGTGTGACCCGCTGCACCTCAGGTCCACCCCCAGGCCCTCCAGCTACCCTCGGGGACAGCAGACGCCTCCACCTCTGCCCTCTGCTAAGTCCCCTGGCCCCCAGCCCTGCGCCCGCTCCGCCCACTGCCTCATTCCCCGCAGGGAAGACCCGGGAAGCCCAGGCAGCGTAGGGCTTCTTGGGGAGCAGCCCCCCAGTCCCATCCCAGCTGCATCCCAAGCCCGTTTCCTCCACGTGCAGAAGGGGCGACGCCTCTGCCTGCCTCCAAGCAGGTCCCAACGCGCAGAGGCCTTTTGGCCAGGGGCTGGACAAACTCAGGGACACTGGCTGCCTCCCTTCCTCATCCTGGACCCCCCCACCCCCCGCAGGGAGAGAGTAGGGGCGCAGTTCCCAGCTCTGGGTGGTAGGGGGCGGGGCTTTACAGGGAAGGGGCGGGGCCTGACCGTGCAATTGTACTTGACGCAGTCGTCCCAGAAGCGGCTGGCTGAGAATTTCTTGCGGAGGACAACCGTCAACCCATAGATGAGGCACTGCCCCACGCCCATGATGTTCCCTGCAGAGGGTGGGCTCGGTGAGGGCTCGCCAGCCCGCCCCCACCCCCAAGGCCTGTCCCAGCCGGGCTGCCCCGCGGTACCTGCAGAGTGGTACAGCGGCAGGCAGTCGTACAGCACGTCCGCCGCCCGCATGCTGTAGGAGTGGTGGCCGAAGGCTGCGATGCGGTAGTACCTACAGGGACGGGCGGGAGGGCAGGGGCTGGGGCCTCAGTCCCCCAGGGACTGAGGGTGAGCAAGCATGCTGGACGCCGCCAGAGCTACCAGCTCAGGCTAGCTGGAGAGGAACGTGCGGCAAATAACTGACAGTCTAGGGATTTGGGGTTGAGGGTGACCCCGGGGAGACTGAGGGATACTGTCTGGGGCGGTGCCGGCCTGCCCCCAGATCCAGTGGGCCCGGGCTATGGGAATGAACTAGGGAAGCTGTCCAGACAGAGCACACAGCATGTGCAAAGGCCCTGCAGCTGGAAGAGCTGGGGGCCAAAGAGGAAGGAGTGAGGGATGAAGAGGCAGCAGACAACACCTAGGAAGTGCCAGGGCTGGCAGGACCAGAGAGTGGGGTTTATCCCAAGGCAGTGAGGGGAGCCAGGTGCGGGGAAGGTCTGATTTAGGGTTTTAACCCTCCTGCAGCCACTGAGGGGAGCAAAACTGGCGAGGGGGCAGCAGTTAGGGAAGCAGGAGGCTGAGCAGAGGCAGGTCCAGCAGAGCTGGGCAGAGCACTGAGAAAAGTGGACGAATGAGGAACAGGTCCCATGGACAGGCTGGATATGGGGAAGAGGTAGGGGGACTAGTGGGGTCCCAGGACAATGACACAAGGTAGCAGTGTCCTGAGATGGCCATGGGTTTCATTTAATTGGGGGTGTCTGTCCACAGACCCAGGGGGCATGCTGGGCCACTCTCGGGGGCGGGTGTGACAGCCACAGGCCCCTCACCTGCTGTGCACGACTATGGCGGCCTTGGGTAGCCCCGTGGTCCCTGACGTGTAGATGTAGAAGAGCCGATCTGCAGGAGAGGGGCGTTGGGTACTGGAGGCAGGGGGCAGGGGAGGGCAGGCTTCCAGGGACCCTCCTGCACTCACCGTCCATGCCCTTGCCAGGGGACTGTGCCAGGGGGTTGGTGGACGCCTCCTTCAGCATCGGGTCCAGGAGGTGAGTGTCAGGCAGGACGCTCTCAGGTCCCAAGTCTCCAGAGCAAAACTTGAGAAGGCTCTTCCCAAGCTGCCCGCTCACCTCGGCCACCGCTGAGGCCAAGACGAGCATCACGGCCACGGCCACGGCCAGACAGGCCCCCTCCCAAAGCCCAGGATGCGGTCTCTCTGCAGCAGGCGGCCACCCGACCTCGCGCCTCAGGGCCCAGTCCCGGAAGGCCCCCTTCTGAGGCCTGGGCCCAGCGGCTCCCTGCCTGGGGCAGCCCCAGGTCCCCGCCCACCTGACATCCGCCTGGCCTCACCCGCTGCCATCTCCCCGCCGTAGATGAGGGCCTTGGCACCTGAGGTGCCCAGGCAGAAGGCCAGGGGCTCCCGCCGCAGGTTGACATTGAGCAGCGCGGCCACCACGCCTGCTTTGGCCAGGCCCAGCCACAGCCCCACGAACTCAGGCCGGCCTTCCAGGAAGACGGCCACCACGTCGCCCGGAGCAAAGCCCAGCTGGTGGAAGAGGTTGGCCACGGCGTTGGAGTAGGTGTCCAGCTGCCCGAAGGTCCAGCAGGCGCCACTGCCGGCGTCCACCAGGGCCAGGCGCTCGGGCTGCCGCCGCACCACGGCCTGGAAGATGCATGGGATGGTGTGGCCAGCACGCTGGTGCCGCCGCAGCTCCAGTCGCACGCGGATCAGAACAGAGAGGCCGCTGCGGGGAAGCGGGGACAGGACAGTGTCACTGGCAGGGAGCAGCCCAGAGCCTCAGCATCCCCATCTGAGGATCCGGGGAATGGGGCTGCGTTTAACCATTTGGTTGCTGGATGTCTCAGGGGACCAAGGACAGAGGCCATTGGAAAAGCCACTCTGGTGTAAATGGAGTCCCCCGTCCTCCTCTCTCCGGCTGCTTGAGGGGCCAAATCCCACCCTTCTCTCTCTGAAGATGTCCCAAGCTCCTGACCATGACCCCTGAACCCTGCCTCCCACTCCACATGCTTCCTCCACAATGAGGGTCCAGCCGAGTCACTGCAAGGCACTAGGCACAGGTGGCTGCTGTGTCCAGCGTGGGGAGGGGCTGTTCCGCCCAGGCAGGGTCAGGGACCTCCTAGGGGAGGGACAGAACAGATGGCGGAGGCACAGGGCGGGCGGGAGGGTCTGTGGCAGGCCAGTGGACAGGGGGCAGTGGAGGCCAGGAGCGGTCCCTGAACAGCACATGGCTGAGCGGCCACCCCTCGGCCAGGCGTGAGCTGGGCGAGAAGTGACCTCTGAAAACGTTCACCTGTTACCAAGAATTGCTTTAGCTCAAGGACTAGGAGACCCGGCATTTCTCAGTTACAACTTGGGAAATTGGTGGTTCCAGCTCCTCCTCCGCCTGGTTCCCTGCCCAGGCCCCAGGCCCTGGCCGAGCAGCCCTGCCGGGGAGCAGGGGAGCACAGCGCTGGCACCTCCTCCCGCCCCCTTCCAGGGCCAGCGCGGCCACCACCACATCCCCCCCTCCGTCCTGTCAAAATCACTGCCAAGTCCATCCGCCCTGCCCGCCCTGCCCCCGCGGCTCTGCAGCAAGGGCCCGCCCACCCCTGGACCCCACGTGTGCACAGCAGTGCCCTGCCACAGAGGGCGCTGTGGGACAGTGGCCTCTGCCAGCCAGGGGACCAGACACCAAACGACTGGCTGGGCCTGGGGCTTCCCAGCCTCCATCACTGTGGGGACAAGGACTGAATGTCCGCCAAGAAAAAAGAAGAAGAAGAGGAGGAGGAGCTCCCGGCTCCCCAACACCGCCCTTCCCTTCCTCCCCACCCTCCCTGTCTACCGGCGCTACTCCGGGGTCAGAGCAGTGGACGAAGACCACCAGGTCTCAGCCCCAGAGGCTCACCGGCACTAGGCACTACACCAGCAAGCTCCAGGGACAATGGTGACAAGGGGCAGTGCAGAGTGAGGAGAACTGGGCGGGGAAGGCTCCCCAGAGGCAAGTGGCACCTGCACAGGGCCTGGTGGGTGGGGGGCACCTGACAGTGCAGCTGGGGGCACAGCCAATGCAAAGGCCCTGAGGCTGGGACAGGCCTAGGAAGGAGGCGCTTCTGAGGACCAGAGCGGATGCCAGGGTGGTGGGGAATCAGACGAGGGCCAGACAGGGAGGACAGGTCCATGATGGGCAGGGCCAGGCCCGCACCCCCAGAGGAGCCACAGAGACAGGCGGGGCAGGGGTGCCGGGACAAGCATCAGCAGAGTTTTAAAGCAAGGGCTCGGGGTTCACAGGAGATTCCCGAGACTCTGAGCTTGGGACGGCGCTTACCTTGGAAGCCCCCGAAGGCTCCTCCAGCTGCCCTTTGGATAGGAGCAGGGAACCGGGTCTTTGCAACTGGACGACGACACACACCCCCACTTGGCTCCTCCCAGCATCCTCCCCTCCCGCAGGGGCTCTTCCAGGCACCCGGGGGCCTCACCCAGCAGGACCCACCACTGCCCCAGCACAGCACAGGGTCCCCCAAATGTGCCAGACTCAGGCACTGGCAGGGCTCAGGGAATGTTCTGGGCCCACCCTGCTCCCCGTCACTCCTCACCCCCACCAAGCTCCTGCGCACTCCTGCATCCGGGCCTTTGCACCGGCTGGGCCCACCGCCTAGGGCCCTCTTCCCTGACATCCTTGTGGCTCCCTGCCCAGACCTAGCTCAACTGTCACCCTCCCCAGGGCAATCCTGGACCCTTCTCTGTACTGCACCCTGCATGCTGGGCTCCCTGCCCGCCCCTGCTTTGCTCCCAGGACCTCCAGGTGAACTCCACTCACTCGCCATCTTGTCCTCAGCCTGCCCCTCCCTCTCCAGGCGGACAGGGACTTGTGTTACCCTTGGCCCTGGAGACTCAGGAGGAAAGGAGCCAAGGCCCTGCCCCTGGGCTACAGTGAGCTGCCACAGTCCTCCCCGAGGACAGTCTCCGAGGGGTGTCTCGGGGTGTCTGGGGATTACAGGTCAGGTGGCCCCAGCTGGCGAGGCCAGGGACCCTCTCATGCAACAGGGTCTCAGGGCGAGGCCACTCTGCAGTGGGGCCAGAGACAGCCTCTGAGTGACTCTCCTGCTGCTCTCCCAGGTGTGGCGTTTCTTTTGGTCCTCCTAGGGAGAGGTGGGACCTTTTAGAAGGGCTAGGTCATGAGGGTTCTGTCCTTGTGGAGGGATCAATGTCACTATGAAAAGAGTAGGTTTGTTATAAAAGCAGGTTTGGGCCAGGCACAGTGGCGCACGCCTGTAATCCCAGCAACTCGGGAGGCTGGGGCAGGAGGATGGAAAGTTGGAGGTTAGCTCTGGCAACTTAGCGAGACCCTGTCTCAAAATAAAACAATACAAGGGCTAGGGATGTGGCTTGGGGAAGAGAACTTGCCTAGCACCCAAGAGGCCCTGGGTTCCAGCCCCACCCTCCAAAAAAATAGTTTGTCCCTGCTGCCCGCCCACACGCACATCCTCTGGGCTGCTTTCTTGCCCTTTGGCTTTCACCCAGAATAACTCAGCGAAGGCCCCGCCAGTTGCACCTCTGGATCTCGGACTTCCCAGCCTCCAGAGAGGTGAGCAATCAACTTCTATTGTTTATACATTACCCAGCCTCCAGCGCTCTGTTATAGCAACACAAAATGGGGTAAGAGGAACGTGCCCAGGGCTCGCTGTTACCTTATTCTCTATATTTCTGTAGTTTGAACTTTTCCATAATCATAAAAGGTCTTCACATTTCTCTTGGTCCTCCTGGGGTCCTTATTGCTTTGCAGTCAAACATCCTCCCAGTGGCCTCAAGGCACCTGCTGGCATGACCTGTCCACCCTTCACCTCACTTCCTCCCCCTCCCGCCTGCTCCTCTCCTGCTTAGCAGCAAACAGTGGCTGCCTCAGGGCCTTGGTTTGTGCCTAGAATCCTCTGCCACAGCCCCATGGCGCCACCTTCTGAGCCTTCACTCAGAGGCCCTCCTGGCCCCACCCAGTGTCTATCACTATGACTGAGTTTGTTTGTTTGTTTGTTTGTTTGTTTGCTTTTTCTGGTCCTGGGGGTGGAACACAGGGCCTCAAGGGCACTAGACAAGTGCTTTGCACCTGAGCCACGTCCCCAGCCCTTTCTATTATCCATTTTGAGTCAGGGTCTTGCTAAGTTGCCCAGGCTGGACTTGAACTTGCAAACCTCCTGCCTCAGTCTCCCAAGTTTCTGGGATTAAGACGTACACTACGGTACACTGCGGCTGTTATAAAATGTGTCTGCAAATTCTCTGATGGTCCTTCTTTCCAAAGGTGGGCTCTCTCCTCCCGTGAGTTGGGGTAGAGGAGGGGATTTACTTCTCATGAATAGCATGTGTCAGGAGCAGGGCTGTGACTTCTGAAGCTGGGGCACAATTTGGACACCTTCTTTTTTTTTCTTTTTTTTTTTTTATTGTAAAGGTTTTTCAAATTATTTTTCTTTTTTCTTTTTTTTTTATTATTTTTTTTATTGGTTGTTCACAACATTACAAAGCTCATGACATATCATATTTCATACATTAGATTGAAGTAGGTTATGAACTCCCAATTTTACCCCAAATGCAGATTGCAGAATCACGTCGGTTACACATCCACAATTTTCCATAATGCCCAATTAGTAATTGTTGTATTCTGCTACTTTTCCTATCCCCTACTATCCCCCCTCCCCTCCCCTCCCATCTTCTCTCTCTACCCCATCTATTGTAATTCATTTCTCTCCTTGTTTATTTTCCCATTCCCCTCACAACCTCTTATATGTAATTTTGTATAGCAATGAGGGTCTCCCTTCATTTCCATGCAATTTCCCTTTTCTCTCCCTTTCCCTCCCATCTCATGTCTCTGTTTAATGTTAATCTTTTCTTCCTGCTCTTCCTCCCTGCTCTGTTCATAGTTGCTCTCATTATATCAAAGAAGACATTTGGTATTTGTTTTTTAGGGATTGACTAGCTTCACTAAGCATAATCTGCTCTAGTGCCATCCATTTCCCTGCAAATTCTATGATTTTGTCATTTTTTATTGCTGCATAGTACTCCATTGTGTATAGATGCCACATTTTTTTTATCCATTCATCTATTGAAGGGCATCTGGGTTGGTTCCACAGTCTAGCTATTGTGAATTGTGCTGCTATGAACATCGATGTGGCAGCATCCCTGTAGCATGCTCTTTTACGGTCCTCAGGGAATAGTCTGAGAAGGGCAATAGCAGGGTCAAATGGTGGTTCCATTCCCAGCTTTCCCAGGAATCTCCAAACTGCTTTCCAAATTGGCTGCACCAATTTGCAGTCCCACCAGCAATGTACAAGAGTACCCTTTTCTCCACATCCTCGCCAGCACTTGTTGTTGTTTGACTTCATAATGGCTGCCAATCTTACTGGAGTGAGATGGTATCTTAGGGTGGTTTTGATTTGCATTTCTCTGACTGCTAGAGATGGTGAGCATGCTAGATAGAAGATCAAGCCGATCAAGCCATCCGTCAGCACGCACGCCCTGCCACAGAGCACCCCGACCCCTGGGACTCCGCAGGCTGAGGCAGGAGGACTGCAAAGTCGAGGCCAGCCTGGATAACTCGGGGACCCTGTCTATAAAGTGGGGGGGGGGGCGCCGCAGACAGAGCTCAGCCGCAGAGCGCCCACCTCCCAGGCGGGAGGCCCTGGGTCCCAGCCCCGGCGCCGCAAAACAGAAACAAAGCTTCTGTGAACACGAAAAAGGGACCCTGGAAAATTTAAA